ATGTGAACTCATAATCATCAGTGGATTTTACCTCTATCCTGGGAAAAAAACAGAACAAAATAAAGTCAAGTCCGTCAGACACCAAAGGGGCGACGGACGGACTTTACATTTATGTTTGGTTTTGTGTTTTCCCAGGATAAGGATAAAATCCACTGGATGATGTAATGAGTTCAATGCATACATTTTCTTTGTTTTTAGTTTTTTTTTTACGTTTTTTTCTGTTGCCACTTGATGATTGATCAAATTGAGTGATCACATGTGATTATGTGATCAAAGGGGTAGGGGTTAGTATTAGATAGCAATATGGCCTACCGTGCATGGGAGGAGGGGGGCAAAGGGGGAGGAAAAAAAGAGGGAAAAAAAGGGGGGGAAAAAAAAAGCAAGAAAGGAAAAAAGGAGAAAAAGAGGACTGTACAAGGACTCTGATATATTTGTGACTATGATGTGGACTGTCTCTGTGTGACACGTCATTTCCGATGGTGACGTGACAATGACTAGATAAACTGGGTACGGACTCCATTCTGTCTGAGTGACGGATACGAATGGAAACCCTGAACATGAGAGAAACTTAAATAAACTTCCAGAGTTTGGCGCACACAATCCGCTCCTGGTCGGTTCAGTCCCTGACTGTCCCAACAAGGACCAGGCTAGACCAGACGAGGATCGGTTAGATTCAGGACAAGACCAGACCAAGGACGCATTGCTAAATCCATGTGATTTTGGTGGAATCTGCCCTGCACACAACAAGCCTCTTAAATTTTCCAACTGTTTTGTAAAGAGGAATGGGAAAATCTTTCAGTTTCTAGATCAACATGAGACAATTCTCTCACGGAAAACAGTCAAATGTTTTATCTATTCTAAAATTTGACTGATAATGATATACATTTAAAACTTCTCAGTCGAAAGATGGGCCAGTTTCTGGTTCACCCCAAAGAAAAACAGCAAATATTTGGTAAATAAATGTTTCCCCAGTTCTAACCCAAAAACTCTAACCCAAAACTCTAACCCTAATATAAACCGTTTATCCGGTTCACGTCACTTTCATAGCGTCATTTTTGTAAAAAAAAAAATACAAATATGTGAAACTAACAATACCTTCCTCCATCGGACTCCCACTTGATGTCCGTGCTGCCGTGTTAGTCCTGGGCAAGACACACTAACGCCCACTTTCCTGAAGCCCCCCGCTGAAAGCAAGCTGTGCCTTATTGACGGAGCAGCCGCCCCGACCCCAGAAATGGGATTAAGAGAAGAAAATGGATGGAATGGGATGTGGTAACGTTTCAATTTGATAAACCTTTACATAAAAAAAGCCCCCCGCCCAAAAGACTGACCTCGGAGTCAGTTCCTCAAAAGACAAAAAAGATTTTATCGCTGTACCATTGAAAGTATTGCCTGGTTGTTGCTGTGTCTGTGTGGGTGAGAAACATCACAACAGAAAGGAGACGTCGTATACAAGGTGTACCGGTCTGAAAGAGGACTGTGGGGACAGAGAGGGACCAGAGAAGGACCAGAGAGCAAGAGAGACCAAGAGAGACCAGAGAGAGACCAGAAGAGAGAGAGACCAGAGAGAGAACCTGAGAGTGACAAGAGAGACCAAGAGAGACCAGAATGAGACCAGAGAGAGACCAAGAGGAGACTCAGAGTGGAGAGACAAGAGAGAGACCAGGAAAGAAGACCAATAGACCCAGAGAGAGAGACCAGAGAGAGACCATAGAAAGACCAGAGATAGACAGAGAGAGACAAGAGAAACCAGATAAGACCAGAGAGAGACCAAGAGAGAGAGACAGAGAGGGATCTGAGAGGACACCAGAAGAGAACCAGAGAAATCCAGAGAGAGACCAGAGAAAGACCAAGAGAACCAGAGGGAAGACCAGAGAGAGACCCAGAGAAGAGAGACCAGAGAGAGACCAAGAGAAGACCAGGAGAGGACCAAATGAGACCAGAGAGAGACCCAGAGAGAGACCAGGGGAAGACCAGAGAGAGAACCAAGAGAGTGAGACCAAGAGAGAGACCAGAGAGAGACCAGAGAGAGACAGAGAGAGACCAGGGAATGACCAGAGAGAACCAGAAGAGACCAGAGAGATACAGATAGAGGACCAGAGAGAGACCAGAGAAGAGACAGAGAGAGAGAGACCAGAGAAGACCAGAGAAGACCTGAAGAGAGACCTGAGAGAGACCAGAGAGAGACCAGAGAGGACAAAGGAAGACCAAGAGAGAGACCAAGAGAGACCAGAGAGAGACAGAGAGACAGAGAGAGCCAGAAAAGAGACCAGAGAGAGACCAGAGAGCGAGACCAGAGAGAGACCAAGAGATACGCAGAGAGAGCCAGGAGTGACCAGAGAGTGACCAGAGAGACGACCAGAGAGAGAGACCGAGAGAGGGCGGTGGCCTGGTGGTTTGGCGAATGCGGCAGCGTCAGCAGCGAAGCAGAGCGTCGACGAGGAGAAATGCGCGAGATTTATCTCATTGATCTAAACCACCTATAATTCCCAGAACCGTTTTTTCCGTGGATGGGTCAGAGGTAGGAGTTGGGCGATAGAACGGAGGCTGCGGGAAGTGAAAGTACGCTGAGTTACGTATAACACAGAAATAGTGAACAAGGTATAAGCGGCTTCGGAATGAGAGTTGGTAGTGACAGCAGGTCATCCATTATTGAGAGACCGAGTAAGATATTGTTGTGCTGATGGTTTAATGAGAAACTGTGTTGTCTTATTTTCACACCACACAGACCAGTATGGGAGCGTTTACAATTGGGCACTTGCTCACACCACACAGGAGGCGGGTCGCCGAACAGGAGGCCGCAGATCCTATTGTACATATTTTTAGTGGCAGGGAAAACCGGAGTACCGGAGAAACCTACGCAGACACGGGGAGAACATTGCAAACTACACTCAAAAGTGCCCTGGTCCGGCCGGGGATTCGAACCCAGGACCTCGTGCTGAGAGCGAGAGGTGCTATCCAATCAGCCACCCGTGCCGTGTGAGGAAAGCCAGTCCATTTAGTCTAGACAATTAGAGATATTGGGATCAAGCGGGGTGATGGAACATCAGGCAAAAGTGTTGAATGAATGGAAATGTATTAATTCATTGACCAATGAGGGAGCAAATGAAGAAGGCACTTGGGCTTGAGGAAGTGGAAAGTTTTAAAGTTAGCAGTGCGAGTCAGGGGAGTTTCACTTGGCGGGAGCAGAGAGTTAATCACCGGAATACTGCTAATGTAAGATGGGAGGAGTTGAAGAGACATATTAAAGGGGGGGTAGTTAAAATGGTGACTAGAGGAAAGCAACAAGTGGACGGAGTGAAAGTGGTCAGTGAAACTATACTTATGGAGTTTGAAGAATCAACTTTGCCTCAGAAAGTGTTCATTGGGTTTTTTTGATTACTCATCAGAGCATTCTACCAACACCGCTCAGGTGCTTAAGTGCCACCGTTTAGGCACACAGCAATAACTGTAAGGATAAGATCAGGTGTCTCGAGGTGAGGTGGCCGAGAATATGGGAAGTGGTGGAAGGAGTACACCCAAGGTGCAGCAACTGTGGTGGGGCACATAGTGTGGGTTTTTCTTAATGCGGGATGTGAGTTTTATGAAGAACCGGGAGAGTCAGATTCAAAAGGTGAGAGTAGAGAGAGGGGAGCTCTTATGCGAGGCTGTGAGGACATCACGGCAGAGTGCTCCTCTAGACAGGGTCGGGGAACCAGAAGAGCCGGAGCAGTAACTGTGCAGAGCAAAAGTAATTCAAGTGTACAGCCAATTGCGCTAGTTTTCATTATTGCTGAAAGTAAAAAAACTGCACTTGTGGGTCAAACAAAGAAGAAAGATCAATTGATTGTTGAGGCAGCGTGAAAGCTGCTAGGAGTGGGAGGAACGACAAGGAAAAGGGGAGTGATCAACGATCCGGCTTCAGTCAGGACGAGTGGTTTAAGTGTTTTGTATTCCTAAGGGCTTATTCACCAATGGATAGCAAGAAGTTGACTGGCAATTGGCCAGGAGTTTTAAGTATTTCATTAATAGTACTTAAAGAGAAACTGGGACGTAATAGGTTGCAGAGACGTGCTAAGTCTTCTTTGGGACTTGAGAATGACTTAGATATTGCTGTGATTAGAAATACCGAGACCTTAGGACGATGGAGGGGGGTGTGCAACATTTTGGGTTAGATGCGGATCCCCGTTCAGGTTACTGGGGTAGGGCGGAATTCTCGAGGGCATGGGAGTTGAGAAGTATAGGGAGAAGGCAAAACAACAGTTGTCATTAAATGTGCTATAATCCGATGTGCCAGTTAGAGCATCAGCAGCCTCCGGGGATTCAGGGACAAGACAGTTAGGAGAGGTGTTTGATGGGGGACTTTAATGCTCACAGTGGAGTATGGGGGTCGGCATAAAGAAACGCCAATGGAAGTTGTTTATAGGAGGAATGATGATGCTGAGCAGAAGCCTTGTGTGTGAGTTGAATGACGGTTCTGGACAAGGTTTCATTGTTGTGAATGGGTCCTCCGTCAGCGTTGATAGTCGAACAGTCATCCCTGGGTTCGTAGCTCATGTGCAGAGGGGCTTGCCCTGTGGAGGTTTGACAGATACATCCCTGGGAGTGGGACCATTATCCGTTTTGACTCAATGGGGTAAGGTGAGAGGATAAGCAGACGAGGGTTTGGGATATGGGCTTTCCATAGAGCTGATTAGGAATGAGTTCCAAAAGGTTTAAGTTTAGGAGGGCTGCAGATGATATGGGTGTCAAGCAGCGTAGATAATGAATAAACAGATTACGGAGGGAGATGATAAATGCTGCACGGAGAGTATTCCAAGAGCAAGCAAAGATAACATCCAGGTTCTGGTTCCCTGGTGACGCAGGAGTGGCCGGGTAGCGTCAAGGAGAGGAATAAGGCATTTAGGAATAGTAAGAGATCGCTCAGGATTCAGCATCTGGTGGAATACACGAAAGCGCAGGCAAATTGTTAGAGGACAATTAAAGAGCAAAAAGGGGCTACTGGAGGGAGATTTGCTCAAATGGGGGGGGGGGAGTGGGGAGAACAACACCAGTGGGTGAGCTCTGGGAATGGTAAGAAGGATGGGTGGAGACCGCGATGAGTGGGCATTACCAGTATTGAGTGACTCAGAATGGCACAGCGATATCGACAGGGATAAGGCAGAGTCATGGCCCAAAGTTTTGTAAAGGTGAAGATAGCACCTAAAAAACTGCTGGCTAAGTGGTCATAAGAGAGTTGGGACTGAAGAAAGGTGCCAGAGTCGGTGGAAAGTGCTGTGATATGCCGATAAAAGCCTGGAAGGATCCCTTCTCAAGCCATGTAGTTATCGGCCAATAGCCCTTACCGCCAACCTCTGTAAATGATGGAGAAAATGATTGGTGGAAAGGTTTGTCTTTGACCTTGAGAACTGGATTTTATGCTGTTGTCAGAGTGCTTAGAAAGCGTCTAAATACAAGTGTGATTCTAGATTAGGCGTGAAAATGAAGAAGGAAAGCTCAGGGCTTGTAACGGAGTCATGCTGCATGTTTTTTGACATTGAAAAAGCCTAGACATGAGGGAAAGAGGTTATTAATCAACTAATGGGTTCGTGCAATAATGGTTAGTGCAAAGAGCTTTTGAACTGGATCCGAGACTTTCTTGAGGGGAGGAAAATTTGAGTGCGCATTGGATCAGTGCTCCAATCAATATTGCTGAAAATGAACCCTGCAGAGCATGTGATAATCCTCGACGTTGCATTATTATGATTAATGGGGTGGTTTGATGCAATGCCTGGGTGTGGGGGTAGATCTTTGTTCGCAGATGATGGGGCGGATGGACAAGGGGGGAAAAGGTAGATCAACTAAAGGCAAAAGCCGCGAGCCATGAATTGATAGTGGTGGAGTAGGGACTAACTGGGCTTCAGGATCTCAGTTGAAAAACTAAAGGGTTTTTTCTTACAAGTAAGAGAGGGAGGGAAGATCTGAAGTTTGTGGTTATACGTGAAGAGATTGAGGAGGAGTGCTTGTAAGTTTTTAGAGGGTTGGTACTGACTCTCTTTTACATGTGAAGGAACCAAAAAAGGATGCGGAAATCTAGTAAGGTTATAAATGTATGAGGTGATTGCAGGATAGACTGGGACCAGCTCTCCGCACTGAAACGCCATGATAAAGTCAGCATTTGCTAGTTGTGTGGGATACGGATCAGCAATCCCATCCATACTGAAGACACGTGGATGAGAACAGGCCCGTGCCTTGAGGCGTGCTGCGGAGCCCCGTTAAGACATCTCCGTGAATGCATTGCAGGTAGAGATGGGAGATGCCACTAGATCTGAAAGAAGCAGATAATGATGAAACTACTGGGTCCAATTATCAAAGCCATGGGATTCTCATCCCACAAAACAACATTGAGGACTGGCTGGGAATATGAAAGGCCCAGGAGAGATCAATTGTGGGAAAGTGGGGACCAGATGGCTCAGAAACGAGGTAGTTATGATCTTCAGATTTGATCTGCTTTAGTGTTTCCTGCAATACCCCATAGGAATTGGTGTGCCCAGGAGTAGATGGGCACCTGCGACGGATAAGAAGGACTAAAGGGAGGGTTTACTCGGTTTGCAGCTTTTGAGTACCACGTAGTCACTCTACCAAGTCATAATCACATCTTTACGGATGGGTCAAAGAGTCCAGAATCTAGAGCTACAGATTCGATAGCGTGCCAGGAAAAGGAGTTGGTAGTAACAGACAACAACAACTGGGTTTGAGTGTTACCAGTGGAGAAGGGTTGCAATATTAGTGGGCGATGAAGGTGGGCAGAGCAAGCTAAAAAGAGTAGGGTTTAATATGTTCTGATTCTGCGTCTGTGCTTTCTAGTGTCCAGGTCTAACAATCACAGGGTTCGACAGGAGTATTTTGGTATGAGAACTCTATGACATTACATTGAATACATGAGCAGGGACCGGGTGCAGTGTACCTGGGAACCATCACATAAGGGTGCGCTAATAAAACACTGGTAATTCATGAGGGAACATGAGACGGGGCTCCGGTGAGGGGTGTGACGAGCGGAGGAGTCTGAAGAGCACTGTCGCTGTTGGCGACTGCAGGGAGATAGTGAGTGGTAAGGGAGGTACTGGACAGAGGCGTAAGGGGACTGGGGGTTTAGAATTGAATTAAAGAGTATTTTGGGTACTGAGGGCGTGCGCAAGTGAGGGCATTAGTGTCGGTTTTTAAAGAAGCCGGGTTTATTCAGCAGAATAGAGATATAGTATAGCGTTAGGTATGTCTGAATTATGGTTAGTTTTTTGTATTTTGTTGAATTTTTTTATTTTATTTTATTTTCTTTTACAATTCCCTTGGGTGGGACCGACAGACGGCTAGTCTGTGGGTTTAGAGTTGAGCCTACGACCCAGCCACGAATTGGTGGGGGGGGGAGGGGTGGGGGGGGTGGGGAGGGGGGGGGTGGGGGGTGGGGAGGGGGGGGGGGTATAGCTGATTGGTGGCGGTAATAGCGCAAAAATGGTCGGCCACCGGCCGGAAAACCTAACAGTAGAAAAAGAAGAAGAGGGAGAAGCCCAAACTGGAGGGCAGCACTGAGCTACGTGGCGGTGGAGACTGTCCTCATCGGGGGCTGAAGAAAACCGCAGAGACGCCACGGGTTTCAAACATTAATCTGGGTAAAGTCATCAGCTGGAACTCAATTTCTGCTGTATGTAATTCATGGATAGCACCCGGTTTGTGTAGAAGAATGGCACTAGTTTAAAAGCTTTCAATAAAAGTCTTACACTGGTCAAAGGCTATATGCTAAAGCAGTGTTTGCGAGCAGGGAGGATGGAGTAAACTGTATACATAATCAGTGCTCTGCAAACTATCGTGGAACGGATTAAGTGGGTTCTGCTCAGCTGACCGACCGACTGGACCAGACCTGGTATAAGCCTGGTGCCATCATGTGAGTTTACAGTCACCTGGTTTAGACCTGCTTGTGTAGTTCGTGCGTGTACATGGTAAGGCCTAGTACTGTTATGTCCAGCCTGAGGCCAATTATTTCCTTAAAAAACAGGAATAATAGTTTTAAATTCCAGTATTTTATTGATTCCGGATAATCGGTTAGTTTGTTTCTGTGGGATCGGACTTCTGTACACCTTAATTTAACCGTCTTATGTGTTACCAGGCTGGAACGATCTTAATTTCAGTATTTGGTCCGTAACCCTCATTTTAATCAATATCTTTGTGAAGGACAGTTTTAAATTTCCTTATAATAAAGTCCAAAGTGCTGAGGAAATACAAAATGTGTCAAATGATGGCTATAGCGGTTGAGGTACAGGTAGAAAGGGCTGCAGTTATTAAAATGTCTAACTGTTAAGTCATGTCTGGCTTCAGATCCGGTTGGCGCACAACGCTTAGACATACTGTGAATAACAAAAAGAGACATTATTGAAGCAAGTCTCTTGTTCACGATTGAAATTCCCCTTTTGTAAACCAAACAACCGGAGCGCAAGACACCGACTATTCTCGTTATATGTCAAACATCTCTTAATTACACAGCATTGTCTTTTTAAATGTGTACATGTGATTAGCTAACGTGAAGATAATCTCTGCATCAAACATGTTTTTCTTTTATCTTTTCCTGGTAACTGAGTGGAAGTTCAGCACAAACAAACCAGCGCCAATATAACAATATAAACATCTCTAGTATGTACAGAAGCAAGCCTACAACCACATTAGCGATCCAATGATACCCTTTTTCTGTTTAGGAATATTTTTCGGGATTATCCAGGTTTTATAGCACCTGGACACTGTTTTACTGCCAAATATCCCTAAATTGTAAAAGATTATTGTATTTAGCATCACTAATTCAACGCCATTTGGCTTGAAATATTAGCAGTTTTTAGAGTTGGGTACTTTACTCTACAGTCGAGTGAAGTAAAATTACCCACAACACAACCGAAGTTGGGTCACGTGATCAAGTCTAATTTCAGTGTATGCAGTGCGTGGGTATAACTTTGGTCGCACGAACGTCAACTGCTCCATGCTGCTCGACCGGGAGGTATCAGGCCTCTTTCTTCCTTTTCTGAGTAAAAAACAACCCAATGCCTTCTTATTGAACTAAATATGTAGTTGGCAATATTCATTTGTATTTTGTGATTCTTTTATTAAAATTTAGTCAGTTCTATTCTCCTTCTTTACTGTTCTGTCATTATGCCTTGACAACTGGACAATTGGAAGAAGGGGGAAGTTTTTTACACCATTTACAAGGATGCATTGAGAGGTCACATCACTCATGACAGGTCTCATCAGCTGATTACGACCAGGAGCAGACTACCTCACAGACCCATTGGTTTTGGGGGTGTGGGTGGTGAGATTTACCCCTGGGGCTGGACGAATGTTGGGAGAGTTTTGATTAGCTGTTATAAACTGATCCGGTCGTTGTCAGTCCCTTTGTGTGTGCTATTCATAATTGACCTGTTGTCATCTCAAGTATCAAAAGAAACCATGATCAACCATTAGGGTAAAGGACTGAAGACAATATTACAGCAAGATAATGTCAAAGTGTGAGAGTGGGATTTTGTCCCATCCCTACTATATACCATACATATCTGACATGTTTTATTTGACGAGGGAAGCAGCAGTTCTTCGGGACAGATACACAGTGCTAGTGCCCAAGTGAGTTTATCATCTCAAAAACATACTTCTGCATTCGTATTTTAAAACCATTCCCATGTAATCTTTGGTTTGAACAGAAAATCCAACTATAAAGTATAACGTAATGGCGTTGAATGCAGAGACAAGGGGGGCGTGTTCAACATGGACACAAGTAGGTTTGATAGTCCATCATAATTTGACAAAATTCTGTTAGTTTCCAAACTCATATCCTGTTTTAGGCTCGTATGGTACGCGACATGAGTTGGCGCGCTTTTTCGTTGAGGAGGAGACTGACAGACGAGCAGCTGGCAGGGAGTTTGGCAAAAAGCAGCGTGAGAACACGCAGGAAGAAGCGTTTGTATTGTGCTTAATGAGTTTAAAGTAGAAGACCAGCTTGAGTCTGCATCTGGCAACGGGAAAGCTGGAGAAGAGTGAGCGGAATCACTTAGAGCTTGTGTAGTGCCAGAAAGCAGTAAGTGAGATGTGAGAAATGTGTGCTGGTTCATGGCATCAAGAGGCGAGTGACGGAGAATGCAGCATACGACATCTTCACCAGTGTCCAGGACGGATGCAAGTCAGTCGCTTCCCCAGTGAACGGCTGGTACCTACTTCAGTGCCTTGCCAGCACCGCACACATCACACAGAGGAAGCCGAAGGATGAGTGGGGCATGTTTGTCTCCTAATGTTTGTTTTTAATGTGAAAAACATCCCGGTTTAGCTTGGCCTGTTCAGAATCACCTTAAATCCTATTACGCACAATACCATACTGCTTCCTGCGTGCTTTCCTCCTCTATCTCTCGCTGCTTTTTGCCAAACGCACTGCCAGCTGCTCCGTCTGCAGTCCTCCTCCTCACCGTAAATGCGCCGCGCACTCATGTCGCGGTCCAGACGAGCCGAAAAACAAAATAGTTTTGGAAACTACAAGCCATTTTGCCATATAGATGGACTATCAACCTTACTTTGTGTCCATGTTGAACACGCCCACCTTGTCTCCTGAATTAAAACGCCATTAAGTTATACGTTTTAGTTGGATTTCTGTTTCAAACCAAAGATACATGGAACTGGGTTTTTAAAATACGACATGCAGAAGTTTGTTTTGGACTGATCATGCTCACTGGGCACTCTCACTGGTGACTCCTGTCCTGCCGAAGAACTGCTGCTTCCCTGTCAATAATCATGGGCAAATAGGTGGTATATAGTAGAGGAGGGACAAAAATCCAAGTATCTCACAATATTAACAGTTATCTGCTCGTAATTTTGTCTTCTGCTTTACACTATGGTTGATCATGGATTTCTATTGATCACTTGAATGAAACAGTGTCAAATAATGAATCGCACACACAAAGGACTGCAAAGCAACCCGGATCGAGTTTATAAAAGCTAACATAAAACTCTCCCAAACATTCAGTCTATAGCCCCAGGGGTAAATCTCATGGTCTGTGAGGTTTCTGCTCCTGGTAAAAATCAGCTGATGAACCGTCATTGAGTGAAGTGACCTCGCAAAACAGCCATTGTGTTGGTTTTGGTGTGTTTTTTGATAACTGGTAAAAACATCCCCCATCTTCCAATTGTCCATTGTCAATGCATAAATGACAGAACCAGTAAGAAAGAAATAGAATCTGTGCTAAATTTCTGTAATAAAAGAATCACAAAAATACTATGAAATATGCCAAATTCATATTTGTTCAAAGTAAGAGGCATTGGACAGCTTGTATAATCTCAGAAAAGGAGAAAGAGCATGATCCTCCGACGAGCAACTGGAGCAGTGAGTGTGAGACCAAAGTTAAACAAACGCAATCATTCAACACTGAAATTTGCCTTGATCTCTCGTATACAAATCGCGTTGGTGTGTAATGTTACTTTCATCCGAGACTGTAGAAGTAAAAGTACCACCTACTCTAAAAACGCAAATTTATTTTCAGCTCAAATGGGAGTGAAGATTAGTGAATTGAGAATACAATATCCTTATTACAATTTAGGGATAATTTGCAGGTAAAACAGTGTCACCAGTTATCAAAATACCTGATAAATCCCGAAAATAATTTCCTAACAAAAGGTACTCATGATGGCAATGTGGTGTAGGCTTGCTGGTACTTTACTAAGATTTCATGGCTGGTTATTTTCGTCTGGAACTTCCTACTCAGTCACTGGAAAAGAAAAGCAAAACATGTTTTGATGCAGAGATTAAAGTCACGCTAGGCCTATTCCACATTAAACAATTAAAAAAACTGCAGTGTAAAATTAAGATGTTTACAAAAGGAGAATAGTCTGTGTCGTTTCGCGGTCACCTGTTTGTTACAATTGGAATCTAAATAGTGAACAAAGAAATTGCTTTCTAATGTAACCTCTGGTATGCACAGTAATGTCTAAGCGTTGTGCCAACAGGCTCTGAACAGTAACATGACTTAACATTAAGACATGTTTAATAACAGCAGCACCTAACAGACATGACATCAACCAGTATAGCAACATTTGACCCATTTTGTAATACATCAGCTTTGACTTTCTTTAAGAATTAAAACTTAACTGCCTCACTGATATTGCTTTTAAATGAGGTAAGGACAAATACTGAAATTATGTTCGTTCAGCCTGGTAAACAGACAGTAAATGAAGGTGTCTACAAGATCAGATCCAACAAACAAACTAACAGTTAACCAGGATTAAAATAAAATACATGAATTTTAAAACTATTAATTCCTGTTTTTTAAGTAAATAAATTGGACTCAGGCTTGGAAAAAAAGAACTAGCATAGTTACCATGTCCCAAGCAAAATACACAAGCACAAGGTCTAAACAGAGGACTAAACCCATGAGGTACCAGGCTTCACCAGGTCTGGTCCAGTCTGTCCAGGTCTGCTTGAGGTAACAACAGTATGTTCGTATCACTCGATAGTTTTGCAGCACTGATTAGATTCAGTTTACTCACAATCCTCAACCTGCTAGCAAACAACTGCTTTAGCATTTAGCCCTTTGGACCCCGTGTAAGACTTTTTAGTGTACAGCTTTTAAAATAGTGCCCATATCTCTACACAAACACGGGTGATATACAGGAATACATAAAAAGCAGAAATTGGAGCCAGCTGATGCTTTACCAGATTAATGTTTGCACCAGTGCGTCTCTGCGTTCTTCTTCAGCCCGTCTGAGGAAGTCTCCACAGCCAAGTAGCTCAGTGCTGCCTCCCACCTGTTTGGGCTTCGCCTCCTCTTCTTTTTCTTCTTGTTAGGTGTTTTCCCCGGCGTTGCCGACCTATTTTTTGCGCATGAAAATTAACCTTACGCCAGCCCCCCCCCCCCCCCCCCCCCCGTTCTGTTCCGTGGATGTTCAGTAGCTCACTCTCCAACCCCACAGACATCAGTCTGTGGGCCCACCAAGGGAAGTGGTTAATAGAAAATAAAATAAAATAAAAAAATACAACAAAATACAAAAAACTAACAAAATTCATACATACCTAACTATACTATATCTATATTCTGCTGATGAACCCGGCTGTCCTTTAAAAACGACACTAATGCCCTCGCACGTGCGCACTCCCTCCAGTACCCAAAAATACTCTTTAAATTAATTCCTTAACCCCCATGTCCCTTAAGAAGCTCTGACTCAGTACCTCCCACACGCTAATATTGCCCCTGCAGTGCTACAGCCACGTGCTCTACAGACTCCTACTGCTCTCACACCCCACACAGAGCCCGTCTCATGCGTTCCCTATGATACAACAGTGTTTATATTCAGCGCACCCCTAATGTGAGGGTACCCAAAGACACGCTCCCAGTTCCCTGCCTCATGTATTTCAATAACTGTCTATAGAGTCTCATGACAAAAGATCCTGTCGAGATCCCCTCGTGAGTGTAGAGACTGGACACTAGAAAGCACAGACGCTGAATCAGAACATATTAAAACCCTACTCTTTTATAGCTTGCCTCTGCCCTAACCTTAAACTGCCACGAACTATAGCAACCATCTCCACTAGGTAAACACTACAAACATTAATTCCGTGCTGTTAATAACCAACACCTTTTCCTAGCAGCCGCTTATCCGATATCCAGTAGCCTCAAGATGTCGACTCTTGACCCTCGTAAAGATGTGAATAGGACTGAGTAGAGTGAGATACGTGGTACTCCAAAAGCTGCAAAACCAGTTCAACCCTCCCTTTTTCCTTCTTCTTCAAGTCCAGCAGGTGCCCAATCTACTCCTGGCACACCAACTTCATGGGGTATTGCTGGAAACACTAAAGCAGAACTATTCTGAGATCAAAATACAAGTTCTGAGCCATCTGTCCCCCACTTTCCCAAATTGAGCCTCCTGGGCCTTACCATATCCCCAGCAGTCCCCTCAATGTCAGTTTGGGTGGGGATGAGAATCCCCATGGCTTTGGTAAATGGACCCAGTAGTTTCATCATTATCTGCTTCCTTCTCAGATCTAGTGGCATCTCCCCCTTCCGCTACCTGCAATGCAGTCACCGAGATTCTAAAGGCGCCGCAGCACAGCCTCAAGGCACGGGCCTGTATCACATCCATTTGTCTTCAGTAAGGGATTGGGGAGTGCTGATCCTACACCACACAACCAAAAGCAAATGCTGAGACGTTTATCAGGCGTTTCAGTGGGAGCTCTGGCTCCCCAGTCTCATCCTCCCAAACACCAAATAACAGTATAACCGCCTAACTTCTCCTCCAATCCGTTTTATGCTGTTCCTTCCATGTTAAACAGAGTCCAGTAACAACCCCTAAAAACTTTAAAATTGCACTAACGCGCTTCATCTCTTCACCGTATAACCGGTCAACGTTCAGATCTTTCCCTCACTCTCTTCCGGTGTAAAGAAAACAACTTTAGTTTTCCTCAACTAGGCACCTAAGCCCCAGTCTATGTCCCCACTCCACCACATCATTAAGGCCTCTGACTCTTGCGTAGTAGATATCGTTCCTTTCTCCCCCGGCTCCATAACCGCCCAATCATCTGCGACAAAAAGAGCTACCCACACTCCCCGAAAATTGTGAATACAGGCAGTGCATCATCAAACACTTCATAATCATAATAATGAACAGTAGAGGACTTATCACACTTGCCTGAGAGTTCCATTTTCAGCACAATATTGGATTGGAGCTACGGATCCAAATGCGCACCGCAATTTTCCTCTCCCATGCACAGAAATCTCCGGATCCAGCTTAAAAAGCTCTGCACGAACCCCCATTATTGCAATCTAACCCCATTATGATTTAATAACCCCTCTTATCCACTTCATGTCATAGGCGGTTTCAAACAAGATACTCTAAAACACTGCCAGCGAACTGACGACCTTACAAGCCTGACTTTCTTATCTCATTTTCAAGCCTAATATTAAATCATCACGTATTTTAATCGCTGGCGCCTAAAGCCATCTCTGACAGACCCAGCCGAAAACGCCTCGTCTCCAAGGTCAAAAACAACCTTTCACAATCAGTCTCTCACCATCATTATTACAGAGGTGGAGGTAAGGGCTATTGGCCATAACTACAATGGCTTGGAACGGGTCCTTTTCCAGGCTTCCTTTATCGCACTATCGACAGCCAGCCTCTTTCCACGCACCTGGCACCTTTCCTTCAGTTCTAACTCTATTTTACAATAGCATCAGTTTCTTACGGTCGGCTATCTCACCTTTACAAACTTTGGCCAAGACCTCTGCCTTATCCTGTCCGATTTCGTCTGTGG